TCCCTAGCAGAAATTTCTCTGCCATCTCTGCTGCGTAGTATCTCACCCCAGACAGGCTGAGTCTACCGCAGGGAATTCCATATGTAGCACTGCCCTTGGCCAGTCCATATGTGTAATTCCACATGATACCTCCTATACGCAGGATGTGGCTTCCGTAGTGTTCCCCTACTTGGGTACGCTTTCCCAGTGTTATCCAATGTACCACTGTACGGAACAGCAGTGGCGGACACCTCTGCCTAAGCCCTGTCCTATCTTCTGCCCCAACTGGTGTGGGGGGACTTGCCGGCTTCCGCAGGGCACTGGAGGGGGTCAGCAAGAGTGGCGTTTTCCATACGGATCCCAATTCGTCAGTCACTACTGACGTAACGTCGAACGTGACTGACTGAAAGGGAGCGTCTTGGTTACGTATGTCACCACAGTTGCTGTACCACCGCTGTACGGCTGAGGCACACCGCCTCGGCTCCTCAGCGAAAAACTGAATGTGCGTCTGCTCACGCGCTCCTTATACCCGCGCTGCGGGCGGGGTGCGTGACGCAAAGATCGCACGCCAACACTTATTGGCTTGTTTTGTTAACACTCGAAGGTGATTGGTCTCTCTAGCGAAGATCCCAATGCGTCATCCGCCGGAACTGCTTCAGTGTATGACAGTTAGCGGAAGTGAGAGAAAAGTGTTTATTACGTTTGAAATATGGATATTTTTCTTTAAAAAACACATGGATTCGCTACAGGGGGCCTTTATTCATCCCCGGAGCCGTCTGCGGCACGTTTTATTATGAATGCGTGAGCTTTATTTGACAACTTGTGGACTGTTCAACTGCAACACCCGCTGACTGTAATGATAGAGCTTGGAATAGCCAGGACAATTTTTAATATAACTCTGACTGAATTCGTCTGCAAGAAGAAAGTCATATACACCTAGGATGCTTCGAGGGTAAGTAAAACACAAGCTAATTTTCATTTTTGGGTGAACTAACCCTTTAAGTTGTGTTAGCTCAGCAACATGAGCTACACTGCATGAGCACTGCACTGAAATTAATGGATCATTAGTTGAGTCTCTCACGCCTTTGAGTAAGCATTGTTTGCCATGAAGACCATTTCTAATCAGCCCACACATTTAGATGCAGCCTTAAGAGCCATTCACACAGAACATTTTTATGTTAAAAAAAGCTAGACACAGGGCAGTGGAATGAAAAAACGCAAGACTGAAATGTATTAACTTGAGCGCTGCATTTTTTAGAATACTGTGATTTGCTTTAAAAGCACAACACTCAACGTCTGTATAACATATGTTTATCAAGAAAAGCAATGGAAAATGAAGCACAGGGGAATGCAAAAACATGTTCTGTGTAAACGGCCCCTTAGAAGGCAGCTGTCAATGTTGGCCCTTTGGAACAGTTACTTAAATTTTGACATTTTCTACTGGGATTATTTTTTGAAAGATGAAAAGAGGCCACACAATAAGAAAGTAACTACAGCAAGAGTGGTAGACTTCAGAGATTCCTAGAATTCCTGGATGACACATTCAGGAAGTTGTACCTGTCCCAGCTGCTCAGAGTGCTGGTGGAGTTCTTCCAGGATGGGCAGGGTCTGCTCCTGGGTACAGTGCTCCAGGATACGCTGGATCACCCTGCAGCCATACGGATGAGTGGACAAAACAAACACCTACACACAGAGAGGAAAAAATGTTTCCACAATGTAGTATTTAAAAAATAAAAAAAGAAGACATGAAGATTTGGAAACAAATTAAAATGTTGTACATTTTAAAGTTAAATAATTCTATCTAATGCACTTTGAGAGTTCAAAATTTAACTTAAGAAAACTTGAGTCAGAAAAAAGTCAGTAAATTGAACTTTAAAAGGGGACTCAACCCTCTTTTTATTTGTGATATACTGTCTCAGTCTAAATTACATACACACTGGTGTTTTAGGAAGCTAAACAAATTAGAATATAATAACAACAACGACAGCAATAGCCATATATTGTAAAACAATTGGACATCTCATACTACACTTCATGTTCTCATGCAGTGAAAAATACATCGCAGAGCAAAGAGGAAACTGACAACGTGCCGACAGACAAGACAGAACAGGTTACTTCTGGTATGAAAAGTTCTCAGGAATCTAATTTTGTCATTTTTAAAGAAATTCAAACAATAAATACTGTTTTGTGGCTCTTTAATGTGTCGTGACAAATCGCTGTAGCGCCTCAGTTCAAGCAGCACATGTGAACCCATCGTCTTTTCATCAGTGGTGGACGAAGTACACAAATCAAGAACTTGAGTAAAAGTACACCTCAACTTAGCACCAGCAAGCTCGTTATCTTGACAGTTAGCATCAGCTAACAATATTTACTTATTTTCAGTATGGTTATGATGAATAAACATTCATATCTGTCTACTCGGATTGTTAATCCAAGCAATATAACAATTTATACTTTTGATAAACAATATAAAAACAGACGTCACATAGGGCTAAATGCGTAGCATTTTAATAAAACTGTTAACGTTACGGTAGCGGGGAATATGAACGTGCATGAGTTATTTTATTTAGTCTGTGTTATTTTAATGTTTCCTTCTTTTACCTAAAACATAGAGACACTGATGTTGATGTGTCTGGTGCGATTTGCGAACCGATTTAAAAGGTTAATTGAAAAGAATCAGTTCGTGAATAAACATGAATAAACATCAGAATGTATTTTATTTCAACTGCGGAACACACCATTTTTCAAGTTTAAGTCCACCGAAGACTGATTTGTGGTTAAGGTACAGCTGTGGCTACTGAGCATGCGCACGCGCACATCAATATAGCGTAATTTTTGTCACTGTACAACAATTACAGTTTTTGCATTATTGTTTACGGTTGGGGTAGGTGTAGACGTTAATAAAACAAAATCTAATCCACCTTTTTGTGAATGCAGAAGTCTCGCTCGACTGGAACGGTGCTTTACACTGACCTGGGTCGCCAGTAGCAAACAATGGAGCGCGCTCTGCTGGACAAACTAAGTAATTACACCATTCAGAAGCATTTAATCTGCGTTATGTGTTCTGTAAAAAATTTTCATATCGGCGGCATATTTGCCGATACGATATATCTGCGACAGGCTCATATTGGCCGATAATATCGGCAAAACGATATATTGGTCAGGCTCTAGTAAGTAACATAAAGCAGTCCTGACTACTGATATAGTATATAGCCAGAAAATACCTACCAGGGTATAAACTCTATAGCTTGTTTTTTTTATTTTTATTTGCACGATTTTAACATGGACTAGAGTAGACTACAAAGGTTCTTAAAGAAGTTTTTCAACAGACATGCAATAATATGCATCAATATTTGGTCTGCCACCACCATATATATAAATTCTGTTTCAGGGTGTTTTGAGTGTCTGTGGAGCTGATACCTGTCCCTGAAAAGCATCAATGATGAACTGAAGAGCTTGGGGCTGGACACACTCAATACATTTCTGCACCACATGATTTCCGTTCTGATCCTTGACACATTTCAGCACATGACCATCCAACTCCCGTACGATGTCACTCTGACACACGAGAAATAAAAAAATTAAAACCTTCAATTAAACAATTACTCACTCTGTAGTTCTGAGAACTACCACCATTTCTAATCATTTTCTATTTTAATACATGTAGACTTAAATGTATTTTCAAAAAAAATCCTAGTGGACTATACTATACTGTAGAAAGTTACAGTACAATCAAACAATGCCTAACATCGTGGATTAATGTGTAATGTGGAAAGAAAACAAAAGGCAACTTACAATTACCTGCTGGTCAGAAGAGATGGATTCCAGAGCTTTTTGAATCACACGACAACCGTACATCTGCAGAGCCAGCGGCAACACATGGCCACGGATACGAGTCGCAAGTGCCAGTTTCTGATCCGCACTGCCAAACTGTAGCAGAGAATCGGAGAAAGCAGTTACTCTCAAAGACAAAAATGCATCATGCACAAGTCATCACACACAAAACGTACATTTATATTTCATTCACAGCCATTAATTCATTTAAAGTTTCAGAAGCAAAAGCATTTTTGGGAGAAAAAAGAAAATACACTACCAGTCAAAAGCTTTGGAACAGTAAGACTTTTAATGTTTTTTTAAAGAAGTCTCTTCTGCTTAACAAGCCTGCATTTATTTGATCCAAAGAACAGCAAAAACAGTAAAATTCTTAAATATTTTTACTATTTAAAATAAATGTTTTCTATTTGAATATATTTTAACAGTACTGCCACTCCCTATACGCAGAGTATGCAGTCTGTGTAGGGCACCTACTCCCATGGGAGGCACCATCCCAGTTGCTCAAAAAAAAAAAAAAACACTTTCGTTCTATATTAATATTAACATATACATAAGTAAAAATACAAACACACACACACACAAATATATATATATATATAACATACATAAATGCATTTAACTGTGAACGCAGTAGGCTAAGCACACGCACCATTCCCACATTCGCGCCCGCGCCGTCAAATCATATTTGCGGCTGACTGCAAATGATCATAATCAGCAATCCGGCACAGAGAAAAGAAAAAGAAAAAAAGCCCAAAGATGACGCCTGTGTATCACTTTCAGGTACGTTCATAATCCTATGAAACCTTTTTGGCTGTTAACGTTAATAACGTGTTTTACTGTCGGTAATCATTTTATCACCACGCATCTGCATTAATATTCTAGTTTCCATGGCTTAAAATGCATTAGGCTTTATAAAATCAACGAGGCAATAATTATAATTAATAATAATCATATGGTTTAATTGAATAACACTGTTTATTTTGTATTAGCCTACATTATGTATTTTAACAATTTATATACATTACGTATTATTACAAATGCCTGCAAAGGGCGCCAATGGCCTAATAATTGCTGTTGTTACACTTAGCTACCTGTATTTTAAAATGTAATTTATTACTGTGATTTCAAAGCTGAATTTTTAGCATCATTACTCCAGTCGCATGATCCTTCAGAAATCATTCTAATATTATGATTTGCTGCTCAAAAAACATTTATTATTATTATGTTGAAAACAGCAGAGTAGAATTTTTTTAGGTTTCTTTGATGAACAGAAGTTCAGAAAAACAGCATTTATCCGAAATATAAATATTTTGTAACATTAAAAATGTCTTTACTATCACTTTTGATCAATTTAAGGCATCCTTGATAAATAAAAGTATTACTTTCCAGAATTTCTCTCCCCCCCCCAAAAATAAAAAAAATTATACTGACAAGATTTTGAATGGTATAGTATAATGTTACAAAACCTTTTTATTTCAGATAAATGCTGATCTTTGTATCTTTCTATTCGTCAAAGAAACTTGAAAAAAAAATGTACTCAACTGTTTTACATATTGATTATAATAATAAAAAAATGTTTCTTTAACAGCAAATCAGTATATTAGAATGACTTCTGAAGGATCATGTGACACTGAAGACTCGAGTAATGATGCTGAAAATTTAGCTTTGATCACAGGAATGAATTACATTTTAAAATATATTCAAATAGTAACTAAAAATATTTCACAATATTAGTGCTTTTGCTGTATTTTGGATCAAATAAATGCAGGCTTTGAGCAGAAGAGTCTTCTTTAAAAACAAAAAAATCTTACTGTTCAAAAACTATCCATTTAAAAAAAAAAAAAATTGCATTCACGTCTCATGTACTAACAATAGACTTCCTACATTAGTATTATGTCTTTTGTTTTTAACTGACAAATTTTAACATTTTCCATGTTTATATAAAAAAAAAAAACAAGTGGTGGAAGCCTTATCCTGTTAAAAACAGAGTCTGATGGGAAAAACATTGGAGCAATTGACTAATGCATATCCTAGAAACGCAGTCCTAGACACTGTGGTTGAATGTTTAAAATTAATTACCTCAAAGAACTTCTGTATGACATAGTTCCCAAAAACATCGGTCATGAGTTGGTAAGCAGCCTGTAGGATCTCCCCAAACACCATCTGCCTCTCTGCAGGAGTTGCACGTTCCAACTTTTGCTGAATAAACCTGGACGTTGAAAAAATGACCTTACATTTTTTTTTTTTTAAATAAAGAAATTTAAAGGAATATTTAACGTAGAGAGTTCCCAATCTTTCATTAAATTATTTTCCAGGACATTTATTTTATATGACAATAGTGTTTTAACTGTGTTCAATTGCTATTTTTGCAATGTTTCCAGACACGCATGATCTAAAATATTTCAAATGCTTAAAAAAA